ATGAAAATTGAATTTTTATACATCTGTAAGTGATTAGTTTGGACAAGACAGCTATAAGCTATGTGAAAAAAATCCTGATAAATTATTGTGTTAAAGACTGCTGGGAGGTCTAGTAAAACTAACATGGACACATTGCTTCAGTCTGTTCCCCATTCCTATCCCCATCCCCGCAAAAAAGACCACCAACCAATATCATTTCATATAGTTCTAGAGGCACAGGGGTTCCATGTTTTTCTGACAAGACACCTCTAGTTAGATATTAATTTTGATAATTTAAGACTAGATAATAATGAAATGAAGTATAGAGGAGAAGGAGGAAAGCTGCTATTTTTATATCCTATCCACCAAAAATAATTCACACTATTTACCTATCAAAATAAAATCATATTATACGTTACAAAGCTAGATATTTAAATTAAAATTTTGAACAGACTAGAAAGCTTGAAGAGAGGGGAAACTCTACATTGTCAATTGAAATGTCATTATTAGATACCAGACAAGCTTCTCTTTAAGAACATTCCACTAAATACTTATTACTAAAAAGTTCTTTCATTCATCAGTAGATAGTTGTTGGAGACCAGGGCAGCCAAATGAATACTCTAAAGAACATAGCAATTCTTTAAATTACAGTACTAAATTAGCTTGTCTGAAACTTTATCAGAAACTTTTATATAACAATTGTTTATTTTAGCAAGAAAGGGTGATTGATACTTTCAACATCAGGGACATCATGTCAGTCAAAGATGTACTGATAGTAGTCCTCACTAAAATAAAATTAGTTTTCTTATGACTTTTCTTGCCAAGTCAAAATAATTACAGTCACATAAAAATATTTTTTGCAAAAATATTCTTGCAAAAACTTGGGGGCATCCTCAGAAAGCAAAGAACTTTGCTTGATCAATGTAACAAGACCAACATTTCTATTAGAACAATATATTCCAGTCAGACTAGATGTAAGCAATTTACCTTCTCTCTCTCAAGAAACATTAAGCAGAACAACCATAGAAAAATACTGACACACTGCCCCTTATATGTCAAATTAGGATTTAATGAATTTTTCACCACTTCAAACTACTGAACAGATCCAATGGTGACAGGAAAAATATATGGTTTTACTCTAAATGTGTTCAGATCAAAATAATCATGTGTTTTTAGTGAGCATTTAAACAAGGGTATAACAACCTAAAGTCCTAGTTTGTCATACAAACTGTTATGCAGCCCTCAGATAATTTAAATATAGCCCACAAACCTAACTCTTTTACTTGCTTTAGTCCAGGACAAAAATGGAATCCACCGGACAGCGCAGAGCAAATGATGATACATGTTACGAGGTTGTGATAGAAGCCACATACGTTATGTAGTTGTGTCAGACACCAGGACACAAGTATAAAATGCCATGGTTGTATCAAGTCATGATGCATGTTTCATAACTTTTTTCATTACTGCAGCTTCACAATTATACTATTATGCACTTATTCGAAAGTAATTCCATTACATTTAGTGTGGCACATTTAATTATCAGTAAAATATAGATTCAATGAAATAAATACAATTAATATGTCCATGACAGAAAATAGTCTATATTTATTTAATCAAATATTTTAAGATACGTTGTCACTCATACAAGTTTAGAATATGCTTGCTGAAATCAATGTGACAAGTTAGTCCTGATTAAGTCCTATTGATTTTCAGAGTTTTTTTCAAGAATTTCCAATTATGTGAATTAGAATGATATTCAAATAACACAATCAAGTACTCAGAAGACTCTTAATTAACTGTAAACTAAAACTTTAATGGGCAATTGATATAATGACTAGTAATACTTAACACATTTTATGTGTTCTTACCAGTTATGAGATGCTATGAACAAGTTCCAAAACAATTAAAGTATTTCAACATGCAAGAACACAAATGTAATGTGTCTTAATCAAGATATAAATCAACAAATTGCAAGTGATACATAATTTATATAAAGCAACAGATGCATTACATCTTTATAGCAACTTGTGACAAAAGCCATAAAAAATAAACCATATTCATATCGAACTGTTTACTTACAAACTCCTTAAAAATTAATCAAAGAAATAGATTGTTTTCTGTACATTTGACTCTTAAACCCTTACCATTTATTAATGTTATCAGTTAAAATTCAATCAATTTTTCAATCAAAGCAGCAGCGCAGGATGCTTCTCTAACTTGTTCCTCTTTAAAGTAAAGGTTCATTGATAGTATTAGTGAACTCATATCAATGTATTAATCTCATATTCTTAGAATATCAATACATACATTCACGATGATTTTCACGTATATCTGCCCATGGGAACAGAAGTATTAAATTTCCAGTCTTCACAACTCATATGTACCGTTAATATTATAGAGAAGATTAATGCATTTGCATTAACTTTACATTATGCAAAGCTAATTCAAATTGAATACCAGTTGAAATGAAGAATAAAATATAGATTAGTTGCCATATCTCCATAGTCTGAGATTCTACAAGTTTTAAAAGGAAGGTAGTTCTAGTTCAAGACACCATTTTATTTAACTGTTTGTTTGTTTCATTTATAAGCCACCATCCCATGTTCAAGGGGACTGAGTAGCTGAGTATTATATTAGTGTGGCCATGCTAATTTCTGGCAAGTCTTCCAAATTATATCTTAGGATAAACGATCTACAGCAAATATCTATTCAAATACTATATAACTTTATATTCTGTTAATAAAATTGGAAAAGTCATTTTATTTCCTGTTAGGGAACAGAATTTAATTGGTTCCTACTACCCATGTGATAAACTCAGCTTGAGTATTTCCTTTAAAAAAAATCAATAGATAAAAGTAAAACATGAAAAATATATAATCCTAAGAAATCTAAACAAGGTCTTAAATCTTTTATTTCTTTTAGAAAAGTATCCTTTTTTGTTGTCTTTTTTCCCACAAGAACTTTGCAGATTAATTGCCATCTACTATATATATAGTTATATAATTTCTGTCAATGTAGTCACAAAAGTAGGAAAACATCATGATACTCATAATAATTTAAAATACATTCTTCATAATTAAATTTTCACATAAAATTTAAAAATCTATATGTCAACCACCTTTCTATTTTGTTTTACTAAAACATTCAAATCATGATCAAAAAGGCAACATACAACTAGTGGTTTTCTGTTTAGTGTAGTTATCCAATGCATTAATTATAGTATGTCAGCATGTAGGGATTAAATTATGCAGTATAGTTACAAATACAGTGATCATATTCCACACCCAGACAGAAGTTTTGACATTTGCTATTTTACACCAAGCCACTACGATAGTGAATGGCTGCATATATTACACTCATTTCTTCAATTTTTGAAGGCGGGCACTGAAGGCTGGCAGAAATTTCTCATAAATACAGTACTTTAAACTTTATAATTTATGTTTGATTTAGACAATGCAGGCTATATTTACTAAGGAGAAAATTATTCTAAATGTAATAGAGTGGTTTTGAAAAAAAACAACAACTTAGTACATGGAGAATTATCACAAAATAATAATATATAATTTCATCAGTATTTTTCACTGTATGTCCAAAACAAAAACTGATAAATGATTTAAAAAATCTATTCTTTATCTTGAGGGCCAAATTCAGCCTTCTCCACAAATCTAACAGTACCTTCCAATGGAATATATTACCATGGAAACAGTTAGATCTCAATATTAGCCACATATCAATAAAAAAAATATCCACTTCATAATTCTAATTAATTTTCACTCCTTTATATTTAAGTAAAAAACCCAAATCAAATTATTGCCTACATTACAAAGTAGAAATTAGCATCTACTGCTCTAAGCTCCTCTGACTATTAAGGAATATGAAATTACTCTTTTTCATTCTCATCATAGAAACAAACAACTTAAACAATTCAGGTTCACTTCAAGTTCAATTTGCAATGACATTTAATAAAAATGTAGCAAAATAAGAATCTTTTGCTTTGCTAAAGCATAATGATTTTCTTTTTTCAATACATTCATACATATATTTCCTTAGTACCATTTCTCCTTAACAATATGAAAATTAAGCTTTTCCCTATAGTATAACTAAAAGAATGTGATTTTTCTTCTAGATAAAAGCAAACTGAAGAGTGTAGAGATGGCAGGTAACTTGTAAAACAATTTAATATTAGAATTATTGACCAAACAGTAATCTGATTTATTTTATTCTAACACGCTATAACCAGATGACAAAATATTGTCACGTAATTATTTTACATCAGAAATTCAATGATATCTTTTATAAATGTTGCATAGTATATACACAGATTAGTATATTCCAATACTACAATCAGAAAAATCGACAGGGAAATCTATACTATTCGTCTTCCGTAGATCGATATCCTTATTAGCGCTATAACCGTTACAAAGTCTTTGTTCAAGTTCATTTTCTTATATGATGTTTTGATCATTGACACGTTTATACTTCCGTTACGTTGCACAATATGAACCTCTACACTTGAGCCCAAAACCGGGACCAATAAAAATAAACGCTAAATGAGTAAACTAATGGGCTTAGTACAGATACTAGAAGGTCTTAAAATTTGCATTTGTATGATTTCCTTGTTCTTTATTTATTTATTTATTTATTTATTTATTTTTGCTTATGTGACAAGTCAGCAAGTGGAAAAAGAAACAATATGCAACATGATCTTACGGAAGGTACAGTTCCATTCCGCCAAATTACTTTTTGGACAGTGACAAGCGACCAAATTTCTGGCTTTGGGAACCCGTTTACACGTGGCCGCGGGAAGGCACACCGTGGAGAAAAAAGGGCCACCCGCCCAAGTTCCGAAGCTATTCGACACCAAGGCCAGAGGGTTCCCCGTCGCTCCATTGCCTCTGTCCGGAAAGCGAGGCGGCACAGCGGCGGGAAAGGTCAGGCGAGCATTAGCCTCGCTCGCTCCTTTGCTGCCTTCCCCTCCCCTCCCCTCCCCTCCCCCAGCTCCATGCACTTTCGGCTCTTACTTTTGCACGAGTTGGGGCAGGTTGGGCGTCTGAGGCATCCCCCTGACGAGACCGCTGTCGGCAGTCGGCGGGAAATGAGCCGAGCCTCGGGCATCTCTCTCAGGCTGCTCGGGGCCACTGGGGTCCGGGGCCTGGTTCATGACTACCCTGGGACCATTCAATAGATGCAGGTTCAGCCGGAGATACCCGAATCTCCCTCGGAAACAGCCAAAGCGGGGGGAGGCAGACAGCAGCGCCACACACGAGCCTGGCTGAAGTGCGCGTCGCCCGGGAGCCCGGAACAGGCGACGGCAAATGCCACTAGCGCGCTCCCGCCCGCCTGAAAGGTATCTCTGCTGAGGAGGCCGGGGAACTCTAGGGAAAGGCATTTATGGCGACGCCAGGGACAGCGGAGCCAATGGAAGGAGGAGGTGCCACCTCCCCGTACTAAGAAATTTTTGGAGACTCGGTCATTTCGGGCCGTTTTTTTGATTGGGCAAGCGAAGTTGCGAGGAGACGATGGGAATCCGTACTATATGGTGCTTAGATACTGTTTCACTGAGGCTGGGGATAAGTATCTCTCCAAGTTTCTGCTCAAGGAATGAGAGAATGAGGAACTAGGGTCACCGGGAATCTTCCCCAGCCTCTCCCTGCTCCCTTTCTGGTGTCCTGCTTTCTTCATGTTTTCCTTTCTGTCTCTGTCACGCCAAGACTGAGCTTGTCTCTACCTGTGACCTGTCAGATTGCACACTGTGAATGCCTGCTCTATAAATGAGAATCATTGCCCTTCTGGCATCGTGGATTGAAGAGGCTCGCAGATTAAGGCTGTGAAACACTAAAAAAGATATCATGCGACATGCAAAATTGTAAAAGCACTGCCTCCACCCCACCATCTCCAAAAGACGCATGAAAATAGCCATAGGTGCAACTATTTTGGGAACTATTCCCATTTTATTGTATAGTGCTATGCAGTGAAATGATATGTGTTTGCACATACTTGTAGAGACACCTGAAACAGCTTTTGAAGCAGTCTCACAAACATAAAGAAGATGGCTGCTTTAATGGTTTCAGGAGATGCTTTTGTACTACTTGTACTAGATGATACCTGTACTAGATGTTTCTGAAATGGAAAATCTAAATAAATAAAGAAAGCTATAAGTGATCTTGAAACTTATGCATTGGTTGCCTCAAACAACAGTTGCAGATGCATATGGTTTCATAGTGCACAATATTCAAATGTTACACAGTACAAATGGTTATGTGTTAATGACCACAGTTGGACCAGCAACTCCATTGCTAAGCCGTGTGGTTATTAAGCAAAACATCATGTGACCATGCTAGATTTACACTACTTCTGCTGTGGTCATTAAACAAATTACACATGTCATTAAGTGAGACATCACATAACCGCAACTTGCAATTTTATTGCCAGTTTCTCTTCTTCCCACTGCTTGTCAGAAGTCAGCTATGAAGCCACAAATGTCAATCACATGACTACAAGACACTGTTATGGTCATAAATAACAGCTGCTTATGAATCTCCCAAATGTCAATCATATGACTGCAGAGTCTTGTAAATGTGAGGAATGTCAATGAATTAATAATTTTTATTCGGTCAATGCCAGCAAAATTTAAAAGAACAAAACTAAAATGAAGCAAATAACTACAATAATATACCAAAAACTAGAAAAATAATTCATACACTATAACATTCACTCCTCTATTACTAAGTTACTGTAGCTGTTATCCAGAAAATAAATCTAAAACATTAATAGATATAAAATAAAAATAACGGTATATATCCTCCAACAATTTATTAGTTGAGATCTATCAAGGCAAGAATAATATTTAAAACTGAAGTAATTATGTATTTAGCCAATTATATCTTACTTTCATTGTAGCACTTGTATATGTAGTGACTACACACGTAATGTATGGTTCCATATCCTGAAGGAGGTTCATGTAAAATTTATCTGACCCTATGGGGAATTTATATATTAGAGGCACAGTGTGGATTGACTCTAAAATTTACAACATAATAATATATGTGAGATGGTTTCTGTTTGCTCATCACCACGTCGGCAAATACACTAAGCCTCAGGGATTTTACCATACCGCCTTGAAGAACTACAGATGGAATAATGTTATATCTAGATTTAAAGATTGTGATTCTCAGTTTAGGGAAAGCTAGATTTAGCAAATAACAAAATTCCAATGCATCTCTATTTCTCCAAATTCTATCACTGTTAACTTCTATCTGAAACTCCACCAGTTGTAAAATTACTTTTTCAGCACTGTCATAACAGTGATAAACAGGGCGATTATTAAACAAAGACTGCCTATAGATAAAATTAGATACACTTTAAAGGAAAAAAAATAAAATAAATGGGATTGGTTGGTATATAAAATTAGGCATGCAGTAAAGAAGTATTTCATAGAACATAATTATCCACTAAAATTGACTGCTAGATGGTTTTGGACATACAAAAGGAAAGGTTATTCACATGCTGAATAACTCAATTATAGAACATTTATTACAAAGTGTAGTAATGATTTTAAAACAACTAGAAAAGATCAAAGGAAGTCACTACTTTTTTTCTTCCTTTTGTATTTCTTTCTGTACTTTTCTCTCTTTATTTTTTTATTTTTTGTTTCCATTTGTATTTACCGTATAATAAACTTTTTTTAAAAAAGCACGCAGCATTTGCTTGCAGCTTCTGAGTACTTGCTCAGCTAAGAGCATGTCTACTGCACATTGTGTCTAATCCTTCAAAAATCAGTTTAAGGTTTTACCTGAAATTATTGTCACTGCTACAAATCTCAGTCACTGAAAACACCCTGATTCAACTAACTCAGACTGATTACACAGAATACTCAGTCTGTAGATTGAGGGAGACAGAGCACTGTAATATGTGGCTTGCTTTCACGAGGTGGAAGGAAAGATTAGTCAAGAATTCCTGTCAAAGGATAAATGCCCTTCAGCATTTGCAGAACTGCAGAGCTGCAGACGAGAAATAAGTGAACACTGCTTCCAAACACTGAAACGGCCAGATCCAGAGCTAATTCTGAACTGATGCAAACATCCCACGTGAAATTATCCTTTTGGATAGCCGAACATTACAAGCATCTGCAAGTAATAGTTACTCCTCCCCTTTTTTCTAGCTAAGTAATAGTTGAAGTTTCACCCAGCAAAATAAAGCCTCTGCCTATATCACAAACAGAAAAGCCTACAGCTCCTAATTAGAAGCGCAGTAAAGATTTGATCAACACAGATCATTTTAACATTAGATCAATACATTTGAAGTTAGGCAACCTGAGGTAAGGCAAAGCTGAGTTTTAAGGACATGTCCTTAAAGAGAAAATAGCAAGGTGTCTTCAGACTTCAGCTGAAGTATATGTACATAAGTCCCAACTCAAATGGTCAACTGAGGAGCCCTCAGCTCTGTCATTAGCCGGCATGTAATTGAAATCCAACTTGTTCACCCAGACTTCAAATAAAACAGAGTCTTTCAGTCACCCACTGCATGGAGCACACAAAGACTTCTGTAATCTAATTTGTTAGCTGAAGAGGCAGTAATTTTGTCCTGCTGGAGTTGAATTACTTAAGGCCAAGGCACTGAGCCTTTTACTCTGTTACACACAGCATTGTGTATCGAAGGATTTAAAAGCTTTAAAAATAACACAAACTAGAAATATAAGAACAGTGCTTTATAGTTGCTCTTTTGTGCCTAACACACATTTATGTCTGGAATCTGGTCTGCATGAGAATATGCCAGCTGAAGTACTGGCTGAAACTAAATTATTCAAAAGATTGTTGTCCTTTTTAATTGTTGATAGATTTGGTTATTCCTATAAGAAGGAAGTTGAAGTTATTGTGGTCCTTAAGCTCAGTTCTTGCTCAAAGGATACAATGAAGCAACTTCAGAGATTAAACCAGCATTTTTGGAATACAACTTTTTTAGGTAGAAAACATAATTTTTTTAAATTAGAAAAATATTTTTTTTAATTAAATATTATAGAAAATTTAATCTACCCCAATAGTGATCAATATAATGTGAATCTTTGATGCTAGCCAACTATTTTATTAATAATGTATATTCCTCATTGGAGACATTTTCATTGACTACATTTAATGTATTGCCCTCTTGGTACTTAAAGGGAGGTATAATAATAGCGGTTTATATGAATACTTCAGAAAAATTAGATGAGATTCTTATATTTTATTGTGTCCTTCTATGTACCAATCCTGGCTCTCTGACATAATATTTTAATCAGCTCGCTGAAAAAACTTATTATTTTCCTTTTTGCAGATTTTTGCTTCCAAAGAAATTACCAGAGGGCTTAGTGAATTTTTATCTGTAAATACTGGGGAAAAGAATCTACAGTAATTTTCTGGAATTATTAATTTGGTGATTGCTTTGATTCCAGGTTAATTACCATTTTGATTTTATTCTAAGTGTGTTATGTTTTTATTTTCTTACTCTTTTTAATGTGAAGTTATTGTATATTGCTTTGGGTTTCTACAATATGTAGACATGTTTGATAACCAGAAAGGAAATTGAAAGAATAGAAAATGGATACAGTACCAAAGAATAAAAAAAACTGCTAAGATCATCTCACTTTTTCTCTATTTGGGTAGCATAGATCTTTAAACATTAAAATTTCTTCAGGAGGAAATTTTTCCAATCATATACTGGATGTGAGGGTGAAATTTTTCCATTCACATATTAAAGCTGTATACATTATATTGTTGCTATTCCTATTTAATATTACTCTCAATCATGAGCAGAACACAATAAAACATTTTTAAAAATGTATATCACCTTTAAAAATATTAAAAAAAATTCATAAGATGTTAACAGACTAATAATATTTTGCTACTTACAATACTTACGAAATACAATTTTGGGAGATATATTTTTAAAATAATATAGGAAAGCACAGGTAAATTTCAGCAACCTATAATAGGTAAAACCAAATACAATAGAAAAATAATATTTAGAGGAAGTAAAAATCTATATAGATTGGAGCTAATGAATAACAAATTACAAGGCAGTGAGTTCCTCCTATTTACAAATCAGTATCATGTTTTATTTTGCTTCCATTGCTATTTAACAAACTCAAATGCTGCTTATAGTTAATTTATCTAAGGTATATCCATGGATATAAAAGCATACATATTAGAACTCTATAAATAATGTCCTTATAAAATGTATTTATGTAACAAAACAACCAATTAAAAACCTAGTGCCAAGGATTGTATCAATAAAAGTAATAAATATAATGCAGCCCATATATTATGATATAAATTATTTCTCTATTTTTAAAAAAGAAAAGCATCACTTTTAATAATGTAGTTAGAATTAAATTATTGTTAAATGTGAAGTTTGGATATGTCTAACAACTACAGTATTTAAAGGTACTGTAGAAGCAATCAATATATCAGCTTACTCCCTGTTCTGTTTTTGAAATGTATCATTGATATGAGCAGAGGAAAAGCTGTGTTATCCAAATCCTCAGATTCTGAAGTCTGTAAATCTTAGCTTGGTATCATAAGGAGGGGAAGGAATAATAGATGCAAGGGTCCTACACAAAGAAATTGGGAAAGGAATATCAACGACTCAAACCTCTAACGAAAGTTTTAGAGACCTCTAATTTTAGTGTCATTGTAATTATATATTTGAGGATTGAATTTTATTCGTTCTCATATTTAAAATACCTATTCTTTTCTGAAGTGTGGTATTCCAATTGTCATGCATCTGTTACATGTTTGCATGCGTACCAGAAACAGATAGATAATCATTCAGAATAATGAAAAATATAATGGAGGGAAAGATTATTTTGCTATATGCAAAACCATAGCAAATTTTTATTCACATATTCTGCAATAAGACAAATGCTTAGAACTAACTGTTCTAAACAAATAGTAATTTGCAATAGTGTATTTTATTCTGAAAAATACAAAAAAACTATCTTGCAGTTTCAAAATAATTTGTAAAAATGCATACTTCATTGATTTTTGCAAAACAATCGACTTTTAAATTAGCACCTACAAAACCTAAGTACAAAACTTCTGATTAGAACAGAAAGTAATTGTCTCAATTTTAAA